AAAAAAAAAAAAAAAAAAAAAAAAAAAAAAAAAAAAAAGAGTGATGGCCGGACATCGATATCGCGAAATCTATTCCAAAAAGAAAGAGATTTTCAGTGTATAGGGTATTTTCACAAGTTTCGGATTTCGCGATGTTTTGCTCTTGCACGTGTTCCCGTGCCACAGGCGCGCTTCGCTACCCTGTCTACTTGCACAGCATACCCGAAAGTGCAAGGCGTTCCACCCCCAAAACGCGTTTCTGCGCAGATCTAAGAGGGGTCTCTCCGACCCCCCCTGATATGAACGCTCTCGAGGACGCTCAAAGTTTGTTCAAAGAGAGAGAGAATGGTATTGCCTAAACGTAGAAAGTCTTTTTGGTAGGATGCCCCCTTCCCTCGCACTATGAATTGGACACATTCCGCCCCTCCCCACGACGGAAAAAGTTCGAATAGATTGCTTCTGAACCCCATTCTACACGAATGGAAGGGACCCAGTATCAAGTTTAATTTCATTCTCAAGGTAGCGCTGAAATCCTCACCCTTTCCCTTCAATTACACTCAGACCCAGAATAATAATAAAAAAACCCAATCACTTTCGTTCATGGGTAAACCGAGCACTCTTTCGTCCACAATACAAGAAGGTTGACCTTGTTTTCCGTTCGTTCGAAAGCCCAATAATGTTAGGCTCCCATGAGCACATTGAGTGAAAGGCACACCAACTATTAATAAAAAATAACTTTTATTTATATACAAATGCTGCGGAAAGTGGTTCTCAATGTGCCTAGAAACGGATAACATGACCGAGAATAATATCAAACTCATAGTGATTCATCCAAATTGAGAATTTGAGTTGCCAGACCAATCAATAAGTTTTCGAAGGAGAAAATACATATACTATGCCGGCATCTCACCCACTTCGGAAAGCAAGAAATCCCTGACATCTTGCCTTCCAATAACAGTGAGTGCGTCGAGGAAAACAGGAGCGTATTTTTGGGGGTTCTTGTGCAGGAGGATTTCGAAGAGCTCGTCATAAAGCAGCTTCGGATTTTCTTTGCTTCGGATCTGCTTCTCCTCGGGGGCAGTGAAGACGTTCCTGTCGCTCAAACATCGCAGCAACTCCTCACCGTCAACGTTATATTCATCCCGAAGTTTCCGACGATTCGCTCTGATTTTGTCCCATGTTTTCAGGTCCTCGCCTATCTGCCAGTATAAAACAGTTACCGTATCAGTTCGAAGTTCACCAACGCCGTTGAAGCCCATCGTGAGGAAATATGCATTGCTTGACTGCTAGGATTGAAGAATATTTAGTTCACAGAATGAAAGATCATTATAGGATGTGCATGGAAGAAAGAGTTTCTTGACAAACCGAATTGTTAATATATCTGGCAGATTTAAGACCAATGCAAATTTTAAGGTAAGTGGTTCTGCACGATTATTCGTATTTTTTTTTTAGCTCCATAGCATCTTCATTCTGGAGTGTCTGTACGGAACGAATCTTCATCGAGTTATTTATCGTTGAAGTTGTTTGTAATTGTTGATCGAAGGGAACAAAAGAAAATAACGGAGCCTCCCATAATATTGTTTAAAGTATACAATATTTCCTCATAAAGCATTCAACCTATCAAGCATGCCAACTGAACGTCTTCATTTTTCTCGCAATTTGGCTCATACATGTAGCCGCAGGTAGATGAAAACGAATCAGCAGATGATTATTGAATAGCTTAAGTGAACAGAAGACTTAGGTTCCTCACATCGAATCATTTTGACAATGGTATTTAGAACAGAACCAACCTGTATTTGATATGGTGTTTTCTCACCCCTGCATTCTGAATTTGATTCTGTGAATAATAATAACATGCAGAAGGATAATATATCTATATATCAAAATCAAAATCAAAATTGTCATCTAGAACTGGGAATCAGTATACCATAATGATCCACAGACCAAAATCCAGATACACTCCCCAATAATCCTATTGGACCCACGCGGTACATTCCGATGCCCGCCAGAACCGCGAGAAATGCCATGATGAAACCGTAGCGTCTACGAAGTAGCTGCTGGAACTGATGCATGTAACCTGTGAAACCTCCTCTTTGGTTTGCTTCCGGAGCTCCATGGGTCTTTTCTTCTCGAGGTCTCTCCAGATTCAAATCTGCCACGGCAATTCAAAGAATTTCATTACCGTTTTCTCCACATTAATGTCATGAGACACTTTAGATAATGCAATCTTCTTTGGAGATATCTGATTTCCCTTTTCTAGAGCGAGAAAAATAAGGTACGTTAATATTGCATGATGAAATTCATATTTCATTCCCATTATAGTCTTTTAAAAACGTGAATCGCTTGTGTCAAGTTAGAACAAAACATTCTAAAAACTAACATAGTGACTCCATCCAATTTTTGTGAAATTTGATAGACTTGTACAGTTGAGTCTATTGAAATACTTATTCATGCGTTTTACCAGATTTTGCCAAATACTTTGTAATCACGCCTGATAGTAAATAATGATTTTGGCCAATTCAAAGTCATGCGTTTAAATTATTTTGTAAATATACACTTTGATCAGTATTGACTATTATGTCTTCTGGCTCTTAAGTCCTATGGGGTATGAAATCGCATATTTACGCGAAGGTTCTACTCTACAGGGTGGCGTACAAATTTAAGTTTCCCTGTGAAGATTTCGAAATGAAAGTTTTTTCATCCTGTAAATTGCAACACATACGAGGGGCGTGACAAAAGTTCTCGGCCTGACAACGAAAGATTGAGTGAATATGAACATCATTCCACTAATTTTCAACATAATCTCCTTTAACATCAATGCACTTCATCCAACGTTTCTCAAGCAACTGCAGGCCCGTTTTAAAAAATGTTTTTGGAAAGCCTGCTAAAACTCCTTCAACAGCACACTTGACTACATCATCTGACCCATGGACCTTTCCACGCAAATGTTTTTTCATATTTGGAAAGAGATGAAAGTCTGAGGGGGCCAGATCAGGAGAATAATGTGGGTGAGGGAGCACTTCGAACCCACAATTCTTTGCAGCGGTCGCTGCAACTCTTGACACGTGAGGAGGCGCGTTGTCCTGGAGAAGCAGAACGCCTCGGCTGAGTTTCCCTCGTCGTTTCTCCTTGATAGATTCATTCAATTTGTGCAGAAGGTTAGCATAATACTCCCTGGTTATTATTCTACCATTTTCCAGGAAATCTACTAAGAGCACCCCGGTTGCGTCCCAAAAAACACTCACCATGATCTTTCCAACAGACCATATTGTCTTGAATTTTCGAGGTGGGGGAGAATCACTGTATCTCCACTGCATAGATAGTTGTTTGCTCTCGGGGTCAAAATGTGGAACTTAAGTTTCATCCTGTGTCACCAAGCGCCCTAAAAAACCTTCCGGATCGGTTCTGAATTGCTCCACAAGTGTCTCTGATATCGTCACTCTTCCTGCTTTCTGTTCTGGAGTGAGCATTCGGGGAACCCAACGTGCAGAGACCTTGTGCAGGCGTAGATGCTGCTGTAAAATTGTTTCCACGCTGTCAATGCTGATCCTGACTTTGTCTGCAAGGAACCCGACTGTCAGTCTTCTGTCGCTCATCGCCAGCTTTTCCGCACTCTTAATTGTTCCCTCGGCCACAGCAGTATTGGTCTCCCGGAACGAGGATCATCTTCAAGGCTTTCGCGCGAATTTTTAAAAAGAGCTGCCCATTTTTTTACTGTTGAATATGACGGATCTTTATCGCCTAAAGTACCGTGCACGTCTGCAAAAATTTCCTTTGGCATTAGCCCTTTAAAAACAAAATACTCGATCACTGCTCGCTTCTCAAAATCACCCATCTTTCCTGTCGGAACACACTCATCACACTTCACTGCACTGCACAGGCATAAGATGAGCAATGACAACTGTTGATAGGCTTAGACATTTTTTACACGGGGGTCAATGAAGTGGAATAACATGAACAGATCAGGGTTTATGAACTCACTCTGTGTCAGATCGAAAACTTTTCTCACGCCCCTCGTACATACCTTGAATTTATTAATTTAGGGGTCGACATGTTTCGAAATGCGGTATGTCCACTACCAGCAGCAGAATCCACAACATTTGAAGCTAGAATGGTGATGTCTTAATATCCTACAGCACAGAAGTAATTGCTTCACTGGGAAACCCAGCTCAGAAGTGGATTCAATCGCACAATAATTATTTGGCTTCAAGAAGCCTGTTGTTTATTTCTTCTCTGGCTGCTTATGTCGGAAGGACTAGCTTTCAACACATTATTTTCAAAAGAACATAGTTCAACAAACCTTGTGCCTCGCTGTACTGAGAAGCAGGAGTAGTCGCTCTGTATGGCTTCCCAGCTGCGCCTTGTGGGATTGACGGGGTCAGCGCTGCTTTCTCTGTGGCAATTTACAGGTCAAAGTAATTGTTCAGTTATGATTTAAAAAAAAAACTGGCAGTCTGCATTTAGGTATAAAACAGAGTTTGGGACTTTGCTTCGGTCACCTCGACAAATGAAAGGATTTTAGAGTTGCTAAACGATTGTAGCTTCACGTTTTGTGGTTAATAATCTATTGAGAAGATGGTGAACACTTCATAATCTGTATCGGGCAAATATTCACAATCCCTTTCAAAAATACTTCCCTTTAAACCCTTATTTATTGTTGAAGATGAGATACGGGTTCTGCACAGAGGTAGTAACTAATATGTAACTCTACTCATGGGCCCGAGAGAATCTACTATTATTCGTCTATCCTGATGCTACGTACACGCATGAGGTTGATGCATAAAGCTGGTGCATAAACCCCGAGAAAGCCTACATCAAAGTCTGGAACGCCTATCGCATTATTTTCTGAGGTTTCATTAGGCACAAGTTCAAGTTTGACAATTACCAATAATCTAATAGTGAAGTGCCCCCGAGGGGAGGAAAAGGAAGCAGGCGCCATCCACTGCGCCGCTTTCTTTCTCCATTCGTCGGGCCTCCTGCGAACCTTTTCTGCATTGCCTCAACGTGCGATATTGGAACCTTCTCCGACGTTCCCACGCATCTGGAAACTTTCCGTTCCTAGTTTCATGAATACAATCTTGAAGAACATGGTGTAACGAACCTCGTGACTGGCTGTTCTCTGAAGCAGTCGCAGTCGCTCTGCGAGATTTCGCAGCGGCGCCTTGAGAGTTAGACGAGGTCAGCTCTTCATACTCTGTGGGAAATTCCAGACCAATGTATCAATAAGTGCTCAGTCATCGTGATGAAAAAACCAAGATGGCATAGAGATATTAAACAGAGGTTGGGACTTCATTTCTTTCCCCTCGACCATTGAGAGCATTCTGGAGTTGGTCAGGAATTGTCACTGAAATATTTTGCAACTCAGAAAATATTCTGCAGATGAAGGGGAATGCATCATCCGTATTTAGCATATTTATATTCATTTTTCGCAAAAAAAACTTATTTAAACCAAAATGTATTGCTGGAAATGAGATACGTAACTTAGAAAGGTTCAAGAATGTTCACCCCGAGGTAGTGGAACGATAAGAGAAGTCTGAATGTTAGAACCCAAATTCTTTCATAATCAAGAGTGATTTAAATTGTCAGCAATAGCTTTCAACTAGTAATTGGTAATTTACCGGTAAATATGTTTCCTATTAACGATACAAATTGAATATTGAGCTGCTATGCCATTTGGTATTAAAAGTCATTCCTTCTATATTAATTTATTTACCCAAATGAACAACTCATTCAATGCCATACCATTTAACATTAACTTCCTCTGAAGAATGTACCTTGGTGAAACTTAATTTATTAAAGCTCTCTAAGCAAATTATACGAAACTGGAAAATTACTTATTTGTAGTGGGATTGCAATTGCATTACATTTGTAGTGTGATTGCTTTGTCAATGGCACAAGTTTAAATATCCAGCGAGGTTATTTTGACGTGTAAGAAGTTTTTCTATGCGATGGTCGAGACAACGGAAAGTTTCAATGCTAAGTGATTGTATCTACAATAGAAAACATTAAGAAACATATGTGGTAATTATTCAGCGTGTACAGCATGAAGAAGCAATCTCTCTCATTTCGCTAAAAATTTTCTTTCCATAAATATGTTTGAAAAGCTGTGCGTGGTTTCAAAATTCCTGCACTAGAGTAGAAACAGAGAGAGAGATATTTAGCCCAAGTGAATGCACATGCAGGAATGGTGCATCGGGATCGTAATACCTTTTCACAGCGATAGAAAAGATCTCTCTGATCATAGTTTATAGCTCATGAATAATACAGTATTTGCATGTGTGTCATGGTGGGTAATTGGAGGCATGAGGAAGCGAAATTTTTTAAAGCCGTTTTCTCCACACCCTGCAGAAATCCTAATAAGACTGCGACATGTCGTGAGTATTCGGCTTGTTATTCAGTTTTTTTTTTATATAGCCTTTGGTCTGGCTATGAAGATTAATCAATGCATTTTTGCCGTCCTCCAAGTCACCTGGAAGAAAAGATGAATTACGCTCTAAATATGAAAAAAAATAAACTCACCTTTGCTAAGAGAGTTGGCCAGATTATTATGTCCTCTCTTCCGAAGGGAATCCAAGAGTGCCGAGAATGCCTCATCTCCTTTCAGCGGCACGACTTCCCGAAGGAACAGAACTTTTTTTGTA